CCCTCTGCCCAGAAAGCTCCCATTAGCATGTCTTTCAAGTATGAACAATGTTGTTTTTTTCCAGTCTTCTTTACCTGAAAATTTCTTTATTTTGCCTTAATTTTTGAAGACTGTTTTGTCTGGATATATACTTTGAAGCTAATAATTATATCATACCTGTAGTTTGGAGATTATCACCTTTTCTTCTGGTTTTCTTGATTTATCATCAAAAGTCAACTGTTGTTCTTCTGAAGGTTATATTATTCTGTTTGTACAACTTCTGGAATCTACAGCTCAATAGATAGAGCACTTCTGGAGATTTTGAGACAATATATCCTTAAGTATCTTGCTCTATATTTTATCTCATGTCATTTTGAGACTCCAATTACATGCACATTGACTTGCTTCACCATGTCTCATATGCCTCTTTTTTTTTCCCCCTATTATTTCATCCTTGTATTTCATGCTTCAACCTGGGCATTTTCTACTTTGCTTTTTCCTCCATTTAATCTGCTGTTAAACCCATCAATTGAGTTTCTGATTTCAATTATTATATTTTTTCAATTCTAGAGTATTCTAATGTTTCTTTTTTATATTTGTTTCAGGTGTACAAAACAACATAGTGATTAGATATTTATATACCTCACAAATAACCCCAATAAGTCTATTATCCATCTGACACTGTACATAGTTATTGCAGTATTAGTGATTATAGTCCCAGTGCTGTACTGTGCATCCCCATGACTATTTTTTTAATTATAGTTGGCATTCAATACTATTTTATATTAGTTTCAGGTGTACAGTGTAGTGGATAGACATTTGTATGATTTAGGAAGTGATTTCCTGATAAGTGTAGCACATACCTGACACTATGCATAGTTTTTACAATATTATTGTCTATATTCCCCATATATACTGTACTTTACATCCCCATGACTCTTTTGTAACTACCCATTTGTACTTCTTAATTCCTTCACCTTTCTCACCCAGCCTTCCAACCCCGCCTCCCATCTAGTAATCATCAGTTTATTCTCTGTAACTGTGAGTCTGTTTCTGTTTTGTTTGTTCATTTATTTTGTTCTCTAGATTCCACATTGTCTTTCTCAGTCTGACTCATTTCACTTAGCATAACACCTTGTAGATCCATCCATATTGTTGAAAATGGTAAGATTTTATCTTTTTTGTGAAAGAGTAAGATTCCATACGTACCACATGTTTTTTATCCAATCATCTATTGATGGGCATTTTTGGTTCTTTCCATATCCTGGCTATTGTGAATAGCACTGCAGTGAACATATGGGTGCATATATCTTCAAATTAGTGTTTTAGATTTCTTTGGATAAATACCCGGAATAGGATTGCTGGGTCAAAAAGTAGTTCTACTTTTAAATTTTTGAGCGATTTCCATGCTTTTCCCCTAGTGACTACACCAATTTGCCATCCCACCAACGGTGCACAAGAGCTGCCTTTTCTCCATATCCTTGCCAACGTTTGTTGTTTGTTGATTTATTGGTGATAGCCATTCTGACAGGTGTGAGATGATATCTCGTTGTGGTTTTTATTTGCATTTCTCTGAAGATTAGTGATGTTAAGCATCTTTTCATATGCCCATTGGCCATCTGTATATCCTCTTTGGAAAATTGTCTATTCAGGTCCTCTGCCCATTTTTTAAGTGGATTGTTTGGTTTTGTGTTGTTGAATTGTATGAGTTACTTATATATTTTGGATATCAGGCCCTTATCAGAGGCGTTGTTTGCAAATATCTTCTCCCATTTGATGGGTTGCCTCTTTATTTTGTCGATGGTTTCTTTTGCTGTGCAGAAGCTTTTTAGTTTGATATAGTCCCATTCATTTATTTTAGCTTTTACTCCCCTTGCCTTTGAGATCAAATTCATAGAATACTCTTTGAACGCAAGGTCCATAAGTTTAGTACCTATCTTTTCTTCTTTGCAGTTTATTGTTTCAGGTCTTATGTTTAGGTCTTTGATCCATTTTGAGTTAATTTTGATACACATTGACAGCCGTCTGGTTTCATTCTTTTGCTTGTGGCGTTCCAATTTTCCCAGCACCATTTATTAAAGAAGCTTTCTTTACTCCAATGTATGTTTTTGGCTCCTTTGTCAAAAATTATCTGTCCATATTTATGTGGGCTTATTTCTGGGTTTTCAATTCTATTCCATTGGCCTTCATGTGTTTTTCTGCCAATACCATGCTGTTTGGATTATTGTTGTTCTGTAGTACAAGCTGAAGTCAAGGAGTGTGATACCTGACTTTTGCTTTTGTCTATCATGGACAAAAGCAAAACCCCTGCCATTCCCCTCATTTTTATACCTGGCCCAATAGATGCATTTAGGCATTATCCCTGCGCCCTGTAGGCACATAGGTTTTTGATCCCATGTGTCAGGCAATGAGTGAGTGGCTGACTTGAAATTATGTATATCTCCCTAAGAGAGTGCCAGGCACTCTGTCTTTTGGACCTTTCAACATTCTTCAATATAACTTTCACACCCTCCAAAAGGCCTATCCTAAAATGTGTTAAAGTTCCTTTTCTAGCCCTATTTATTTTGTTTTGTTTCTATTAATTCAAATGTCCTAGCTATTGTAATGAGCCTATGAGTCCAGTTAGGAGATTTAATAAAATTATTACAGCCCTAAAACTCAGGGGAAAAACAATTGAGGACATCTATTATTACTTACACATGGAACTAACACTAAACTATCTGGGGTTTATGTCACGTATCTGTGTTACCTCCTGATATGTCCAGTCAAGATTCATCTTTATTCCCTGACAAGTCTGACCCAATTCCTCATTGCTCTCCTATTTCTCCTGCCCTGCAATGGCAGGCTTCCTCCATCCCTTGTCGCCTTAATGTGTATGAGGGCTGTGAAAAGAAGCTAAGTAGTCCTGGCACAATAAAGAAGTGTGGAGGCAGTGCTGCGCAGCCAGAGGACACAAGAGCTCTGCCATTTTCTACTGTTTGTCACTCTGATGTGAACAATGGCTAGGAGGTTATTAAACAGATTGTTCCAGGGTTTTCCTCTCATTATTTTAGCATTCTCTCCCCATTCCATTGTCCCAGGTTTCTTTTCATTGTAGCCTTTTAACTACAATGCAGTGTTATGGAGAAGGATGCACCCACTGGAAGTCATGCAGTGGTTCGATTGTTCAAAATCACTTGGGTATTTATTTGTTTATTTGTTCCTAGGTTTACAATTCGGCTGTGGCTATGTTAACTCATGGAAACTGCTCTGGGACATATTTAAATCAAAACAGACAGTTTCCATTCTTGTTCTAAAAATCAAATGGGAAGATTTGTTTTAAATGAGGAGTTAGTGGCATGCCCCAACACACTTGGAATGTGTGTTCACTTGTTCAATAGTGGATAATATATATTCTTGAACAAGTCCAAATGCCTCTGACAAAATAGGCCAGAAATACCTAGTGTGTTGTATGGACTTTATTAGGTATCCAAAGAACAATACCTTCTTGCTGACAAATATAAGTTTCTAGCTGGATGAATAAAGTTTCCTTGAATGCTTATGATGAATAAAACTTCTTATATGGGATCTTCTGTCAAAAAACTTCCTTGTTCTTTGAGCAGGTCACTCTGCTCACTGGTATCAATATTTCAATATATAAAAATAATTCCAACTTAAAATTGTATCTGCATTTTAGTTTTAATACTGTAAACTGAGTGTGTTTCCAAGTGATGCTCAAATTCTTAACACTCTGCTTATTAAAGATTTATTGAGTAGCCAGAATATGCCAAGCACTACCTAGGCACTGAGGAAAAAGAAATTAATAACAATATAAAGTTTTTGAGGTTTACTGGGGTAAACTCATCTTTTAAAAAGTATAAGAGGGAAAAGGGGATCAAATATACAGTGATGGGAGGAGAACTGACCTTGGGCGTTGAACACACACAATGCAATATAATTTTACTAACCAGAGTCACCCCAATAAATTTAATAAAAATTAAAAAAAAATACTTAACATCACTTTAGTTTTCATTTTATTTTTGAGATACTTCACTGAAGTTAAAATATCTCACTATTCAAAAGGGTTGGAACACACAGTCATACCTGCGACCATGCGAGGTTTAACTTTATCCTTTAATCAGTGAACTATGTCCTCCTTATTGACAAACATATAAAAATACTTATACAGGTATAGCACTTTTTGAAGTTCTTTTACCTATATAAACTAACTTACTCTTTACAATACATTGTGAGGTAGGCAGAGCAGTTATTATTTTCAGCATTTTATAGTTGAAACAAAACAAAACAAAACCCAAGGCTCAGAAAGGTGATTTTTTTTCCAAACCGCACACTTAGGGTTGTCCCCAAGTTCAGTTATTCCTGGTATTCTCCCAAGATGCTCCTCGAAATGCTCTACAACCAGTTATTCAAGCTCTTCAGATACATTAAAATGCTTGAATGTTTTCAGAGTCAAAGAAAAAAACCTATTTTAAAGCATTAGGCTATTTCTGAGCAAAGTGATTATTTCTGATTACATTCCCAAAGGAGATAACTGGTAACCTATGACATTGCAAGGTGCCAAATGTTTTACATGAACCTGCTTGGAAATTCCTATGAAATAGAAGTTGAATCTTAATTTAAAGAAGCATACCAGAAAGAAAAAAAAAACTTTTGCAAAATTATGTTTTATAAACAGGTCTTTATTATTGAGATTAAGACAATTAAAAACTGCAAAGTGTTTATAGAAGTGAAACAAACTTTCTGACACGGTTTAACCTCAACGGCTTGGAAATTGACACAGACCTTTTCCATATAGGACACGAAGGCACCTGGTCACAGTTGCACATGGATTTCTTTCCTTGCTTTTTTTCTGTGCAATCCCACCTTCTCCAGGGAGCTCCTCTCAGAAATGATGCAGCAAAAAATATTTGCAATAGTCAGGTCTCAAGTTCAATTCTCAGAAGCTTCCCTTCCTAGAACCTAGGGCCATCTAAGCAAAATCTCACTTTGTTACCAAGTGGGGTTTTTTTTTCCTTTTTTTTTTGGTATCAGACTGTTCCATGAAGTGGTTCCAATCTGTAGGCCATAGATGCAAAAGTGATTGGTATAACATGATTAAATGTAGCAGTTTAAAATGTACATACCAAAGCAATATTTGAAATATGAGTGTGTGTCTAGTTATTAGCAACATATTTTTAAAGCTTGAACACTTATTTTTTTGCCCTGCTCCTAAAACCCCAGCTAATTTTCAATATACTCCGGTGAGCTGCTGGTATTAGGCTGCTCCATGTGGCCCGCTCCATAGGAAGAGGGCTGTGGAAACAGGACCCGTGTGTCATCTGTGGGGATGCTGGTGATCTCTTTGGGCCCTCTAGAGGAAGTGTTCTCCCTCCTCTAGCCTAACCAGAAAAGGATTCATCTTTCTGAGGGCCTGTGAGATGACAACCCTCCTCCTGTCCCCCAAAATCTTCCGAAGTGATGGAAAAATGGTCATCTTCCTCTGCTCAGGACCTCCCCTTTTCTTATTTACTGGGCTTCGAACAGACATAAGCTCTATCTATACCCTGTGTCCCTGTGTCCACCCATCTGGATAAAGAGAGAAAGAGAAGAAGAGAGAGGGAGAGGGAGAAAATCAACTATAATGCCACCCTGGAATTTAAAGATGAGATTTTAATAAGACTAATAGAAAGGGTAAACAAAACAGACATCCCCTTCCCTCAAGAAGTATATTAATACTGTGGTGCCTGCAACTCAACCCCCTTAGAACATGACTCTGAGGAAACTAGTTTTATTTGGGAATTCAAGACTTTGACCAATAGGTAAAACATTGAAGTTTGGACGGTAATGAGGCTTTCCGGTATCATGCAAATCATACAGCATGAGAATGGTAATCTGTGTGCATCTGAATGAATCTTCTCTTCTATCATGTAGCACTGTAAAAAAAAATAATCCAGTGTGAAAAACAATATCAATCTAAGAGGTATGACCCGTGTCCATTAATGGGACTCTATCGCAGATGCCATTATTCTGTTTTTCCTCAGCAATGCTCCCTGAGCTTCATGTTTGTTTGTTTTAAAGCTAGCTTATAACTATAGACTTCTTTCAGGAGAGAGATTCTCCTTCTTTAGTACATGAGCTCCATTCAGAACTGCTCTTTTTATAGGCAGGGTTTCAGCTGTTAGGCAACTTCCCCTTATATCTGTGGTCATTCCAAGCGCCTCACAGTTAAGCAGTAGCAACTGATGGCTACTTGTCATTCAGCCACTTCATCAAAATGCCAGGGGTACGGCTGCCTCTTGCTAAATCCTAGATTTGTTTCCTTCCTTCCACCCTCCTCCTTTCTCTCTGCGTTAATTTTGATTTTCTACACATTTTACAGATGTTTGTATAACATACTGTAGTTTCTTTACTATATTTTTCTTTACTGTATTCTTTACTGTATTTTTCTTAGTAGGTATTTAGATAAAATCTATGTTTCTTTTTTAAACTGACACCATTTGCCTATAAATAGTGGACTCTTTTAAATAATTAGATGTAAAGGTTAAATCAATAACATTAACACTAGCTAATTCTGAGCAGAGACCTAAAACCTCTTCAAGTCCTTAAACTTAACTTCCTAGAATTTAATTGCCCTTTAACCCTTCCCACTAAGGCTCATGTCAGAATGATAAGTGTTCAGGCATAGAGCTCAAGACCACCAAATTTTATTTTATACACCATAGACTTTAAATTAGCAAAATTATCATAGGTTCCTTTAAAAAAATTTTTTAAATAGTAAAACAAGACAAAAATAGTGTTGACATTTACTTGGTGAGGAGAGGAAAGTTCTGGAAACCAAGTAGTTTAATAGTGGACATAATCAAAGCCAACTTAATGGTGATGGTCCCTGTGTAGTCACACAGGATCCTGCGCTCAAAAGGACTCCACACTTGGTTCAGTGCTCTGCTATCACCTTCTTGAAATTCTTAACAATTTTTCAACAAGGAACCGTGCCTTTTTCTTTTGCACTGGGCCCCACAATTTATGTAGCCAGCCCTGGTGATAATTCCCTTTGTACCCTACAAATAGGGTGACGATATATCACCGATTTGCTCTGGCTAATCATGGGTTAATGCCTGTTGTCTGTGGTACTTACTTCATGACATCCTCCCAGAAATATTCTAGTTTGGATCATAAAATACACAGTTGCCCAAAAAAATGAATAAATGAATAAAAACTGAAAACCAGTAGTTCAAATGGAATTTATAGTTGAGGAGGACCTTGTAAATACCTTTCTGTCGATGTAAAAATATATGTCTTTAGTTGCCAAACTGTTTTGGTCCCTTGATATAAACTCCATAAGAGACCGACTCTTCAGAACTAGAAATTAGCAGGATATTCTGCAGAGAGGACAAAAGGAGAAAGAAGTTTACATTTGTGCATGGTAAACTAAAGAGATACAGCAAATTTTATCTTCTTGCTAAGTACTGAAGGAACTTTATTTTTTTTTATTCCTCTACCTCTCTCCATTTCTTCCCATCATATTGAAGAACAAATTCCAAAGCACATCTTCCTATCATCACCTATTATCTTCTTTCCCCTTACTCCCTTGCATTGCCTTCATTGGAAATAAAGTACTTTCAGATTAATTAGAGTGAAGAGAAGTAGTTGATAGAGATCACTGAGAATTTTGTAACCAAATTTCATTTTTCCTATTTTAGAAAGATTTTTATTAAAAACATAGCTAACATAAAACATTATATTAGTTTCAGGGGTACACCATAGTTATTCAACATTTTTATATTGAGAGAAGTGATCACCATAGGCCCAACAACCATCTGACTCTGTACCATGTTATCACAATATTATTGACTATATTTCCTATGCTGTATATTACATCCCCATGACTTATTTGTTTTATGCCTGGAAATTTGGACCTCTTATTCCCCTTCTCCTTTCACCCCCTTTTTAAATTTATCAATTACAGTTGACATTCAATATTATTTTATATTAATTTCAGGTGTACAGCATAGTGGTTACACATTTATACAATTTAAGAAGTGATCCCCTGACTAGTCTAGTACCCACCTGGCACTATACATAGTTATTACCATATTATTGACTATATTCCCTATGCTTTACTTTACATCCCCATGAGTATTTTGTAACTACCAATTTGTACTTTATAATCCCTTCACTTTTTTCACCCTGCCTCCCAACACCCTCCCATCTATCATTCCAACAAATCTAGTACCCACCTGACACCATATGTAGTTATTACAATATTATTGACTACATTCTTTATGCTATGCCTACATCCCCTTGACTACTTTGTAACAACCAATTTGTGCTTGTTAATCCATGCCCCTTCTTTCACCCACACCCCCAACCCCTCCTCCCATTTGGCAACCGTTAAAATGTTTTCTGTTTCTATGAGTTTGTTCCTATTTGTTTGTTAATTTTATTCTTAGATTCCACATATAAGAAAAATCACATTGCATCTGTCTGACGTATACCACTCAGCACAATACCTTCCAGGTCCATCCATGCTACCACAGATGGCAAGAACCCATTCCCTTCCATGGCTGAGCAATAGTCCATTGTATATACTCTTTTTTTTTTTAATTAAAGTTTATTGGGGTGACAATTGTTAGTAAAGTTACATAGGTTTCAGGTGTTCAATTCTGTAATACATCATCTATATATCCCATTGTGTGTTCACCACCCAGAGTCATTTCTCCTTCCATCACCGTATATTTGATCCCTTTTACCTTCATCTACCACCCTTCTTCCCCCTTACCCTCTGGTACCTACTCTTTATCCATTCTTCCATGTATAGACTCCCAGACTGCCTCCACATCTTGGCCATTGTAAATAGTACCGCAATGAACATATGGATGCACATGTCCCCATGAAGCAGCATTTTGGGATTACTGGGTTATTCCTGTATCTTGTTATAACCTTTGTTTTAAATTCTATTTTGTCTGGTATAAGTATTGCTATCCCAGCTTTCTTTGTTTTGTTTTTCATTTCCATTTTCTTGAAATATCTTTATCCATCCCTTTAGTTTCTGTCTGTGTGTGCCTCTCAATCTGACGTGAGTCTCTTATGGGCTGCATATGTAAGGGTTTTGTTTTTGTATCCATTCAGCTCTCTTGTGTCTTTTGTTTGGAACATTTAATCCATTTATATTGAAAGTAATTGTTGATAGATATGTTGTAGCTATGGCCATTTGATTATTTATAATTTTGATTTTTTTTCCATCTTATAGAAGTCCTTCTAACATTCCGTGTAATACTAGTTCGGTGGTGATGAACTCCTTTAGCTTTTTCTTGTCTGGAAAGCTCTTTATCTGTCCTTTAATTTTAAATGATAGCCTTGCCAGGTAGAGTAATCTGGTTGTAGTTCCTTTCTTTTCATTGTGTTGAATATTTTGGGCCAATCCCTTCCAGTCTGCAAAATTTCTTTTGAGAAATCAGCTGACAGTCTCATGGGAGCTTCCTTATAAATTAATAGTTGACTTTCTCTTGCTGCTTTTAGGACTCTCTTTGTCTTCAACCTTTGCCATTTTAATTACATTGTGTCTAGATGTGGGCTTGTTTGGGCTCATCATGTTTGGGACTCTCTGCTCTTCCTAGGCATGTATGTCTATTTCCTTCTCCAGGTTAGGAAAGTTTTCAGTCATTATTTCTTCAAATAGATTCTCAATTCCTTGCTTTCTCTGGTATCCCTATGATGCGAATGTTGTTACACTTGATGTTGTCCCAGAGATCTAGCCTCACTTTTTTGTATTCTTTTTTCTTTTTGCATTTCTGCTGATTGTTCTTTTTCTTTTCTTTTCTTTCTTCTTCTTCTTTTTTTTTTTTTTGGTCTGCTACGTTGTCTTCCAAATTACTCCAGTAGTTTTCCAAGAATGAGTGCAATGCAGGAGGGTCTGCCTGCTCTCAGAAAAAGTGCCTCCAGCTGTGCGCAAGTTGGCTCAGGTGGCATCCCAGCTGAGTCAGCAGAGTGGCGCAGTGGAGCTCCTCAGGCCAATCAGATTCAGATTTGGCCTGTGGGGGGTGGGCTCAACACAGGAAAGATGGCCTCTGCCTGCCAGCTGCACAGGAGACAGACCCCTCTCTGGGAAAATGCTTACTATCCTCCCCCTGAAGCCACGCACCTCAGCCTGCCTACCTCCCATATGTCTCTGAGGTCCCCGGAGTCACCGTCCCTCCGTTGGAGCTCAAGGTGAGTGCCTGTGAGCAAATGAGTCTGTGCAGGGGCCGTTTAAGAGGATGTCTGGGTTTCCTTCAGCCTTCCTTCCCACCCAAACAGTCGGAATCACCGCTGTTTTTCACAGCCATATGTGGTGGGGGCTCCTCTTCCCAGCATCAGTATTCTGGGCTGGGGACCCTGGTGTGGGGGCTGGAGTCCCTTCTTCTTCCTGGGGGAACGTCTGTGGCTGAGATATCCCTCCTGATTCTCAACCACCACATGGAGGTTTGGGGTACATTCCGTGTCTCTGCCCCCTCCCAGTCTCAACGTGGCTTCTTCTTTATATTTTTTATTATAGGACTTCTGTTTGGCTAGGCTTCAGCTGGTTCTCCAGGTTGATTGTTCTATAATTTTGCTGTGATTTTAATGTGTTCACGGAAAGACCCAGGCACAATGTTTATCTACTCCACCATCTTGGATCTCTCCTACCAAATTGCATTTTTCTTAAGAGACAGATTTCTGCTGATAAAAAGAAAGATAAGTAAATAAATGAAAACAGGATATTGAAATGATATCTCCCATATCTTCCATGCTTACTGCAGCATTATTCATAATACCCAACATGTGGAAACAATCTAAGTGTCCATTAACCACCAATGAATAGATGAAGAAGGTGTGATTATATCACACACACACACACACACATACACAGAGGGTGCCATAAAAACGTATACACATTTTAAGAAAGGAAAAAACTGTATTAAAATTGTACTACTCAATATATACTGATGACAAAAGATGAATACAAGTCACGTTTGACTTCTGCAATTATAAGATATACTCAAAGTAGTTACCATCAATGTAATTTTAATACAGTTTCTTAAAATGTGTATATATTTTTGTGGCACCGTGTGTGTGTATGTGTGTGTGTGTGTGTGTGTGTGTGTGTGTGTAATTATTATTATTCATCCACAAAAAATGACAAAATGCTGCCATTTGCAACAACATGGATGGACTTTGAGGGCATTATGCTAAGTGAAATAAGTCAGAGAAAGACAAATACTATATAATATCACTTATATGTGGAATCTAAAAAAGCCAAAGTCATAAAAAGAAAATAGAATGGTGGTTCCCAGGGGCCAGGACGCTGGGGGAATTGGGAAGATGCTGTTTAAGTGTACAAATTTGCAACAGGTAGATATAAGTCCTGGAGATCTAACGCACAGTATAGTGATTATAGTCAACAATACTATATTGTAAACTTCAAAGTTACTAAGAAACTATGTCTTAATTGTTCTCACCACAAAAAAGAAATGATAATTGTGTGTGTGACATGATAGAGGAGTTAGCTAACACTGTGGTGGTAATATTGCAATATATAAATGTATGAAATCAACACATGTACACTTTAAACCTACACAGTGTTATATGTCGATTATACCTCAATTTTTCAAAAAGAAAAATTTTAAAAAGAAAGTTAAATTCTTGAGATATATTCAGGAAACATTTGGATCAATAACAAACAATAAAGGAAGATTCATATATATTTTATCCTTCAGAATCTCCATTCCACCATGTAAAATGAAATGAATACTTCCATACATTGCTAGGGACAAGGTATGAAACAATTGTCAAAATACTAAAACATTAAAATTCCCATACCTCTGACCCAGTTGTTTACTACATCCCTCAAACATAATCCCAAATATGGGGAAATGCTACATACAAAAATGTTCATCACAGTAGTACCTTAATTAGTGAGTAATTAGACAGCACATATATGTTTCACAGTAGGGAAGTGGTCAGGTAAATTATAATATATACTGTATATTTAATAATACAATTTTCTGTCCCCTTTTTTTTCAGTTAATATTATCACACAAGCCTTTTCCCATGTAATGCAAAGATCATAAAATGCATTTAGTGACCGCATTGTATTTTCCTAATTGTCTACACCAAGGATGTATACAATTTTATATTTGGAAATAAAACCTTTAAAAAAAGATGAAATACCCTGTAAATGGCTTCCTATTCAAATAAAAAGCTAGCCTTGCTCTAAAATGTAAGAATGATGAACACTTACTTTTTTGTAGTTATCCAAGGACATGTTGGTTCAAACTATAGGGACTGTTCCAATATTTGTTAGAAATATTGGGAGTACATTATTTCATTCTACTCTTTGTTAAGAAATCAGAATGTTACA